AAATCTTTCAAGAAAATGCTGCATTTCAAAATTCATTGAATGGCAGTGACGATGACGTGCTCTGGAACGCCGAGGATGATGATGACAATGATGAGGAAAGAAGAATGAATCTGCTTCTGACGAAGAGAGCTGCGAGGATTCCAGTGATGAAAACATTAGTGAATAAAGACGTTTACTATTAATCACTGATTGTAGAAACTGTTAGCTAGATAGAAATGTTACGATTTATTTCATGTTTCATATTTTACGATAGGTACCGTATATACAGTAGTGCTAATTAACAATGATGATGTTTCACATGACAATAGCCCACTAATAGGTTAATTATATGTTCTGCTACTTTATGTATAAATCCATTGTTGTATAAAATATGGTATCTAAATTTAAATAAAGTTATCATACCATTAATTTATAGTTTATATACAAATCCATTGTTGTATAAAATAAGATTCAATAAATTATTCATATCATTGATGCGCATTACATTCGCTGACAAACAATTTTTTTATTATTTAAAGTTTTAAAATGGGGATGCGCATTAGATTCGATGGCGCATTAGATTCGCATAAATACGGTATTTTAATACTGTTGGTTTGTCTATACGCAAATTATTTTCGGTAAAGTACAATTTTTCAGTTTTTATTTTTGGTAAAGTACAATGTCTCAATGCTCATCACGTGGAAACTGGCCAAGCCCCTAGTACTTGATATCCTGCCTCCCGAGACCTACTTTCATTTCCCTACCTGCATCGCTCATCAAAGCATCTAACTGAGATAGCCGGAAAACAACCTGCATTCTTTGCAGGTTAATCACTGCATACAGAGGAAGTTGGAGTTGGACTAGGCAAGTGTATTGATTGGGAAGAACAAATCGAACGAACCGTTTGGCGAACTTCAAAACCATTCACGCACGCATTAAAAACGATTTCCCACTGAATTCTACTCTAAGGAAAGAAAAGGTTAGGCAGCTAAAATCTAAACTTAATACTCAACAATCAGCTTTTTAAAAACCATTAAACATGAATAAAGCAGCTATTGAGGCATCATTCCAAGTTTGAAACACGAGTATTATTGCACAGGATTAAACCACACAAAGACAATGAAGTAATCAGAATTGCATTTTTAGAAGCTGCAGATAAATTATTTGATACTAGTTTCAAAAATAAAACTGAGATAACGTCTGCTATTAAATCTGCACAGCTTTCTGCAAATAAAGAAATAAGAAGGGTTGAGGTTATGGGTTCTGATATTACCTCATAACTTGAAACTGACTTTGATCACTGCCAACAATCTCTCTGCAATTTGACGAATCATCTGATATACTGATACAACTCAGTTGACCATTTTTGCAAGAATGGGATTTGATAATTTCTAAACAAGAGAGGAGCTGGTAAAGATTATACCATTAACAGGACAGAACATATTTTTATCAGTTAAAGATTTTATGAACTCTGAAAATATTCCTATAAATAAGTTGGTGGACTTAGCAACTGATGGAGCACTTGTGATGAAAGGCAGACATATGAGATTCATATGTCTATATCCTTCATATGTCCTTGTATAGTAAACCTCGTATGGTCAACAGATTTCCCAAATTTCTATTTTAAGATTGCGTAATACACCAGGAGTGACTTGTGGAAAGTTTCTAAGTATGAACAATGTAATGAAAACGGTCATAAAAATAATAAACAAAGTTAGAACATTTCAGAGACATTTGTTCAGAGCACTGCTTGATGAACTAGATTGCCAATATGGTGATCAAGTGCTTCATGTGGAAGTTCATTGGTTGAGTAGAGGCAGAGTTTTACAACGTTTTTGAAAGCTGTTTCTTGCCTATTAGAATTTTTAAAGAATGAGGCCAATCCTTACATGAAATAGAAGATCCACTTGGGTGCAGGATTTTGCTTTTTTTCACAGACATCACTGAAAATTTAAATATCTTTAACTAGCAGCTTCAAGGTCAGGATAGAGATATTTCTGGAACAATTTCAGATGTTGCTTCATTCTAAAAAAAGGTGGAAAAAATATCATCCAAGTTGAATACAAACACTTTGCCTGTTGAAACAAACCCTTGACAAGCAAAGGTCTTCAACGTCTTCTTACAACAGCAAACAATACGTTGAAATCATTTCAGATTTGAGAATAGAATTCAACAAATGTTTCCAAGATTTGAAAAGGATTTCAATCGTTGCACAGTTTCTCAAATCACTTTTTCTAGAGAATAATGCTAAAGAGTTCTGTACTTGTGTCATGGAGCATTTTGACTTTCAAGAAGACAGTGCAGCAGTGGAATTGGTTGATTATTCAAAATGATTTACTTGTTAAAGCACTTTCTTCAAGCTCTGAAAATATTTGGCCTCCTGTTCCTACAGAAAAATACCCAATTTTGGTCTAGGTTCGTCTCAAAGTGAAGGCAATGTTCAGCTCTACATATGTGTGTGAGATTTCTTTTCCCAGTATGTAATTTATTAAAAATAGGTACAGATATAGACACAGTGATGAATACTTGGGCAGGTGTATTCAAATGGCAGCCACTACCCACTCTGCCAACATTAAAAAACTTGTTGATGACAAAAAGAGTTCTATCCTTCTCATTAAAGTCTGAAAAAAAAAAAAAAAAAAAAAAAAAAAAACTATTATTATATTTGCTATTTATTATTAACTGCATTTCAGTTTCTTTCCTATGTACAATTCAAGTTTCTTTTTGTTATATACAGTTTAACTAAAACTGATGTCATATTTAATAGAAATGTAGATTTATAGGCAATAAGCAAATGTAAGATTTTTAATAAAAAGTTTGTAATTCTTTTGGATGGTAGTGAGCCCTCCTTCCTACAAGGCCTTCAATTTTAAATATTTCGATATGATTTTTATTTTGCATTGAAAACTTTAAATGGATATGTATTTAATCCTATGACTGCCCAGTTTTTTAAACAAAATCACTTAAAAAATTGCATATTTTTTTATTAAACATTTGAAATCTACATAACAATTTGCAAACTTTATACAAATATAGGAAATTTGGGAGACAATCAAATCCATCTGCTTTTTTTGTTTGTTTGTTTCTAGCAGTCTAAACACTGCACAAAATGTATTACTGATGGTTAAATACTGAAACAGCATGATACGCTTTTAACAGAGGAAAAAATGTAAGCCCAAGTATATCACAAGATGAACAGTCAGAGAGTTAATCTAAGCACTAATGTTTAATTTAAGTGGTTGTAAATTTATAATTTATGCATACTTTTAATGTTTAATTTAGTTATGTTTTAAGTGCTTTGTTTAGTTACATTGTTATATTTATTTAGTTATGTTTTAAGTGTACTGTATTTAAATATATATATATTTATGTTATGTATTGCATATATTGTATAAACATCTTATTTCATACATATAATACTGGACATTATTCTGTAAACACAAAAGAACTATTGTATGTATTTTTCTTTCTTTGTACGCATGTTACGATACAGGTTCGTGGATTTGGGGTGAATAACGACAACAGCACTTGAGGAAGTATCGAAATACACTTTACTGGCCAATATCAGTCAAGAAAGCTCCAATAACACATTTATAGTCTTCGAAGATTTACTGTAAACATGCTGCAACAATCAGCAACACAGCCTCCAGGCTATAATGGTGGAGACAGCTTCACTGCAAAGCACCAGAGTACAGCTCCCGACTCTGCTCAGCCGTTCTCGGAATTCCCCGTACTCTCGAGACTCTACACTCCAACTTGCAATGCACTTGATGATACACTAGAGTACAGCTCCCAACTCCTCGGTTCAGTCGTTCCCAGAGCTCAACACATTCTAAGATAAACTCGATGATACACTGACTCGCGATACACTAAGAGACTCTTTCGGTGCGCTCGAGGACCAACTCAGCATTCTGAGACTATCAACTTGATGGACTCTGCAATGACTCACTAGACAAGACACTAACTCCACACAGACTTACTCTCCGCATACCAGCAGGGTTTGTACAGCTTTTGGCTTGTGTTCGAGAACATTCTGGGCTAAACCAGTAAAAATTCTTTCCAGAAGGTTCTCCATCCGTCTAAGGCATGTTGCCAATTTTGTCTCCAAATGGGTGATTTCTCGCCAAATGTGGCAACCCTGCCTTTCTTGCCATTTTCTGGTAACCCTAAAACTGCTTTGCGGGGAAGCTGTCTTACTGTGCTTGGACATTTTGTAATGATATATATATATATATTTATGTTATGTATTGCATATATTGTATAAACATACAATAATACTGGACATTATTCTGTAAACACAAAAAAACTTTTGTATATAAGCACAAGTGCCTTCATACTTATGTACGAATCTGTTGCTTACATATTCTGAATATAGTATCCTCAGGGACCTCCTGGGAGGTGTTAGTATCACCACATAATGGAAGACCTGGGATAAATACCTGATTACCTTGTTAGACATTGGGCATTCCCATCTTCAATTACCTGTTGATGAATGAATGAAAAAGAAGAAAAAAGGCATGCATGAATGCTTTGAGAATAGCGTAAAGAGTAAAATATGTTTTAGAGAATGTTTAAAAATTATTGTTACAAAAAATGTTGCTCAATGCATGCGCTTTCTGGTTACTTTGAAGTAAATAACTCAATATAGTTATGAATGTAGAAATTTTGAAATTGTTAGTAATTAAAAGCATTTAATCAAAATATTTTCATTTGCTGTGTTTTTAAACACTTTTATCTTTAAAAGTTACCAAGTGCTATTCCTTAGAAAAATAAATAAAAGTTTATTGAATTTAGAGCTTGAATAACCCATCTAATATTCCCAACAGGAAAATCTGCTTGAAAATTTTAAATAGAAACCATGGACACACGACTTGCATGTACGTGCATACACGAGTGTACATAATAATACAGATTAACTCACAAATAATTTTTCTAATGCAAAATGCTATAAAAGAGATGTTCAAACTATATTCCAAAAATTTCATAAAAATTAAACATACAAGATTTAAAAAGGCTATTACCTGAATAAGCAAGTGGACAATTGTTAAATGCCCACCAGCAGCAGCTGCATGCAAAGCAGTTTCTCTCTCTTGATTTGGAAATTTATAATTTGGATCAAAACCACACGCTAAAAAAGAAAACCCAATTAAATAAATTATAAGCGCATTATAAGTTACTGAACTTTTTCAAGAGTTATACTACTACTATTCAGATTTTCTACAGTTTACTAACTCCCAGGCTATCATCAGAGCACTTTCTTTTATGTCCCTCATTTATAAAAAATGTGTCTATGTCTGCCAGATTATTCTTGATAACTATTTTGGAAAGCAAGCAATCTTTCTTTATAATGGATCCCCAGCAACTGTGGTATTATTGTATATGACCTGGCAGATGATTTAGCAAAAGCAAGTTCTGACTTATCTAAGTACATTATCTTGCTGACTTTCTTCTGTTAATATATTGCTGCACGTGTATGGGTTCGTAATAGACTGAATGCACATAGAACTGATGACAGTTTCATAAAATTTATTTTATAAAAAAAAAAAAAAAAAAAAAAAAAAAAAAACATTTTTAACAGATCTGGAACTTTTCATAAAAATGCTCATACAGCTCTACGAAATTACTGTAAGGCATATGAGGACTGAATATGGTTACAACTACACATAGCATCAATTACAACACCCCATTACAGTTATTCAGGGACTGGACCAAACTCTCGCCAAATGGCGACTTTTCTCATCGAATTCGGTGGCGAAGATTAGTCGCCACAACCATCATTAGCTTTGTGATATCTCGGAAATTTAGCGAGATAGCCATTTACTCAATGTTAAATAGATTTGCTCCTGCATTCTTATTTTTCCCAGCAAAACATCGTCTCTTCAGACTTTGAAGTTAGATTATACAGAAAAAAAGAAAGTACAGTCAAAAGTCTTTAATCCGGACTCGTCGAGACTTCGGAGATTCCGGATTATCGATTTTTCCGGATTATAAATCGTCAGTTTAAATCTGGTAAGATGGCATGCAGAAATTATAAAATTAAAAATATGAAACCATAATTTATGAAATAAAGAGCAATTATGATCTAAAGGGTATCAAAATTTACAAAAAAAAAGCTTAATATTTATTTGTTTACTTTATTAAACATTTCTTTCAAAGCGCGCATGCATAAAGCATACATTACGCATAGTCGAAATTAGAAAATTGCAACCAGAAAACTATTTGATTTGTATTCGTGATATTTATAATGATGAGGAATTTGATTTAAATCATATCAAAGACAGAGTACCTCGAGATGAAATACTACATTATAAGCCGAAATTATAAGCGGAATAAAATAAAAACATCTGGCCTGAAGATAAGGATAGTGCTGACAGATCAACTTCTAGTTCATTGCGCACCCCCCCCCCCCCGCGCAGAGCAGCGTGAAATTGGTAAACAGATTTTGGAATGGTTAGATAAACAAAGGAGCCTTTATCCATTTTTTGCAGCAATTCCACTTTTTGTTTGATGGACATCGAAACATGCTTTCCCTTTGTAGATCCAGCATCGGAAATTCTATTTGACATAATCGAAAGTTCCAACTAACTTTTATAAAATTGTTCTAACAGTCTGCAAAAAATAATAAGCTGGTTCCAATTCAAAGATTAAGGAACAACGCAATCTGCAACATTAACTGAAATAGATAATTATATAATTTTAGCTTAGCTTACACCGTCCCGTTATACATTAAACGCGCATGCATAAACGTATTATGCGCATGCGTAAAGGCATTAAGCGCATTGCGTTGCCGCACGTGCAACGCATTTGCGTTAACGCATGCGCAGAAAGTTTGTAGCTTTGAGGTCCGGATTATAGATAATTCCGGATTAACAACTTTTGACTGTACTAAAATTTCACATATAATTTCATTAAATTAAGGTAAGCACAACATTTGTAACAATATTATTAAATCCAGTATTATATATCACAGAAACCTCTTTGAAAATTACTTTAGAAAAAATAGTACAGTTCCTCACTGAAAACTTCAGCTCTCAATAAACTATCAAAAGCTGTGAGCACAGGGAATTTTCATATGACCATGACTATTTGCTAAAACATGCCCATCACGTCGGTCTGGCAGACCTTGCCTATGTGCTTATTATGTGGCTGCTTGATATGATTGGCAGTCTTTCTACATTTGTCATGATTTTAGTAATTCTGGAGAAGATATTTTTTTATTAATATTATTTCAAGGCTTCGCTGGGCTTCCCGATAGAGACTAATGTCTGAAAAATTGAAGTCCAGCATAGGAGATGAAAAACAGAGAGAGATTTTCTACTACTATAAAATGTATGTATTTAAATTAAACATAATATGAAAATTCAGAATAGCAAAAGTATAAAAAATTACCAGCAGTCGAATATTGAAACAAAAAATACATACCAAGCATATGTAACAATTTAAGTGCATCTCCTTGACTGGCAAAGGTATAAAATTGATCAGGGTTATACCCAATACATTCAACACTCTCTTCATTAAGGACTTTTAATAATCGATCAAGATCTTCTTTTTCTGGACTGCCCGGCAAACCAGCTGTAAAATGAGAATATATCATATAAGAAGGAAAAAATTATACATAGAAAAATTTAAAAATCAAAATTATTATTGCAATAAAAACATTATTTATTATATAATAACAAATAAGAATGCAATAAATTAATTTTGTTAAATTTGCTGCATATTCATAAAATTAATTTTTTTATTGCTCCATATTTGTGAAAATTGAATGCATTAAATTTCTTGGAATTCAAAGTGCTGACTTCTATCTAGGCAAACCTTTTTTCACCTATACAACTTTCAGTATACATGCAATATACTAGACAATATGCATTATAATAACACATGAGCTATACATACAATATTTCGGAAAGATGAATGAGCTTACAGGCTATCATAGTAATAATAGCCTAGACATACAGAATTCAGGTACTTCAAATTTTTAAAGTAAAATAGATGTTTATTTTCTTCTTACTTTGTTGTCATCAATCTGAAATGATTAGCCTATCTACAAATCTTACAAAATTAATCTTACATAAATTCTTTAAAAAATATTTCAAACTACTACTGACACACATTCTTTCATACTGTCAATGTGACCCACATGCAAGTTTTTTTTTTTTTTTTTTTTTTTCTTTTTTTAAATGTTTCTTTTATGAAAAATATATTTACCAGAAATACTCTTTTTGTTTTTTATTTTTTAATTGCAACCAAACATAAAATATAAATGAATTATTTTCTTAGCCATGCAAAGCGAAGATCCACCTGTTAAATTACTGTATATTTCAATAATATTTTGACTGCTATCAGTTGGCTTTCCAAGCCCCCAAAATCATGAAATTATTTGCAAACATAATACAATTTTTTGGTGAATACATATAGAAATCTGTCTTTCCTGAAACTGCAATAATTAAAATATATAAATAAATATGAGAAGATTTCAAATCTGTATTCCAACTAAAAATAATAATTTACCTGACGACAGTATTTTTCCAGTTTCTTCAATTTTATATGCATTATCTGATAGTTCTTCTTCTTCTCTTTTTAAGAACTCAGAAGCAGATGCCAATGTAATTCTGGCTTTGCTTACCACAGGTCTATAAGGAAGAAGTAATATACAATAAACATTAGTAAAGTGCTTAAAAAACTACATAAACATACTTTGATAGAATTTTTTCAAAATGTAGGTAGCCATTTTTTGATGGGTACTTACATACAAAGTGCAATGCAGAATTTTTCAAGCAGAGTATCAACCATTTATGCAAAATGCTAGAACAGGTGACAGCACTTACATATTAGTATAATATAATAGCAGATTGCAAAGTAACCTAAATTATAGAGATTTATTACGTTGAAGAAAACATGCTTTTCTCTCCCATCCCTCTAGATACCATGTTGTAACAGCTTTATTCATCTCATCACTTTACTTGCTTTTAACAATGCAAGAATTTTCTCAATATTGTGATGTAATACTAGAATGGCCCAGACTGTAATACTACACTGTATGGTTTGTGGATTTGTAAAAACAAAAAAAAAGGCTTCTTCACACAAATACTACTTTATCAGAAGATACAGATGGCAAGAAGCTAGCAACCTTTTGGCCAAATATAACTTGCTTCTCATCTCCCTTCCTTCTTAATGATGTCTTCATATTTCTCAAATTCAAAATAAAGATGAAAAGATGATATTTTAAAACTTTTGAGATGATCCAGTAATAAACATGCTTTTTAGCAATCTTTTGGAAAATAATTTTTTTTTTTTAATCGGGGAGTGAATGAACTGCCAAGAAATGTGCTTGGGAGAAGACTAGTTTGAAGGTTGATAATGACTACTAAGATATAAATTAATTTTTACAATATGAATTTGGGAAAGGTTGGTAAGTGCTGATACTAACAATCCTCTGAGAAACTAAATAATGACATTAAGAGTCAACTTTCTATATGGTAGCATCAAAATACCTAGAAGTATATAGCATGCAGAGAAACCAAACATAATACTGTGAAAACATTCTTCTAAGCAGCCTTGTAAATTGATATGCCACAAATTACTGCACCAAATGATTCAGTTCTGAACTTTAGAGGTTTAGCAAATTCTGCATAGTTTTCTCGTAAACAAAAATCAATAAGAAATATAAACCATATCAGTGCATCATATGACATATCAAAGTTCTCAGGAGCTCAGAGATGGTTTGCAGATATTATCTAATTGAGCTTTAGAAAAATGCATACATTTCAGGTACATATGTTACAAATGCAAATACTTGAGGATAATAAATGGCCAGAACATCTTCTGGCAAACAAAATAAAATAAAATAAAATAAAAATAAAATAAAATTAAAAAAAAAATCTCAGAAATTTCATTTATTAACTTAGGAAGAACATAGATAACCCATTTGAAACACTGCCCAAGAACTTATCATCAATTATGATTTGGTTCAAGCTCCTCTGACCAATATACGAGGGTTGGAACTTTAATAGTGGTAACACAGCTGAAAAAACGCTACAGAACAAAACCAAAGAATATCGCGTATACCACACGTGAATTACATACTTACCTTACCTCTCAGCAAAAAGACTCGTCCTGCCTACGTCACACGCATGCGGAGTGACGCGAAGAATGAATCCTTGTATTAGCTCGCGGTCTAAAGTAAGTGTTGTCAGGATGTTTTCAAAACAAGAACAACGATGTTGGATAAAAATTGAATGTGCCAGAGGTCGTACAGCACGACAGTGTCATCAAGGGCTTCAAGAGGCTTGTGGGGAATCTGCATTGCCTTACAGAACCGTAGCAAGATGGGTGAAAGCATTCAATGAAGGACGCCAAAACGTGGCAGTCATGCTGCGGCCAGGTCGTACGAGTGTCAGCGATGCAGACGTGCAAGCTGTTGCCGCACTAATGGACAGTGATCGCCGCCAAACGATTCGTCAGCTGGCCGGACAAACAGGATTAGCGCATACGACTGTGGTGCACATTCTGAAGGAACGCCTGTCCATGAGAAAAATTGCTTCACGATGGGTTCCACATCAAATGACGGAAATGCAGAAATGGCTACGATACAATGCTGCCCGAACCCACATGGAGCGCTATGAGTGCGAAGGAGATACTTTTTTACGCTGTATCATTACTCTGGATGAGACTTGGGCCCGATCGTACCAGCCAGAACTAAAACGCCAATCAAACGAATGGCATCATTATGGGTCACCACGACGCTTGAAATTTCGTTAGAACCCCAGCAATGTGAAAGTTATGGTGATTCTCGTGTACGACTGTGATGGTGTCATCCTAACGCATACCGTCACTGCGCAGTATTACTGTTCATGACCAGCTTTGAGAAAAAAACGGCAACACTTTCTGCAGAACGCTCCTCTCATTTTGCATGACAATGCGGCCGCATGCAGCGCAAGCTGCGACTGATTTGTTCAAGCGATGGGGCTGGGAAGTGCTTTACCATCCACCATACTCCCCAGATCTAAGCCCTTGTGACTAAATTCCTAAGATGAAGGAACCACTTCGTGGCACTCGCTTCCAAACTGTTCCTGAGATTCTTGCGGCAGTAGACCGATCCATTCAAACTATCAACAAAACAGGCGCTGCTACAGGTATTCTGCGACTTCCACATCGTTGGAAACGGGTTGCATACAATGCTGGCGACTATATTGAAGGACTGTAAAACATGGTGACATGAATCACTTTTGTATTCCTTGTAAATAAATTGTTGCCATTATTAAAGTTCCAACCCTCGTATCTTATGAAATGTAATCAAATCAGTGCCATAACAATAACACTAAGAGGCAATGAATGCAAATCTGCTAAAACTAATATTATATAATGTGCAACTTTGAAAAGACTATGAGCTGGATTAGAAATATTCCTTAAGTACTTTAGAACTAAATTGTATCAAAATATAAAAAAATAAACACATTTTAATTAGTTTAATCTCTCTGTTACTTCACATAAACCTCATCATAAAATTAAAAAAAATACAAAATATAAAATAAGATAATATTTCTGAAAAACTTTTTATTGAAATGATTGTGACTTTAGGTTAGTCATAAAATGGTCAATATTTGGAGATACTGTGGATGTTGAAATAAGTAATGAGTTTTCCAGGTGTGCATAAGTAATTCATGTCCTTGCCTTGGATTTCCCAAGCTGCATCCTTGAAAAAAGTTACTTGCTTTTTACAGATGTTTCCAAATAGCATCATTTCTTTTTTTCCCTTGACAACAGCTGCCAGCTTTAAAAACTTGTCACGAGTGAAATAATTTTTATAAATGTCAATTAGCTTTGATTTTTGTTTTTAGAACAAGATTCTCTTGTAGTTCGATTAATTTCAGTCACAAGTATTTCTTATTCAAATTTACATAATTAATGGGCTAGATTCAATGATATTTGGAAAAGTTACTGCAGGTTGTACAAAATTTGGACTAGGGGTAAATTTTTTTTTCAGATTACCCCTCCGCTATCCTTCCATTAATTTAAAGTTTTTCGAGGACTATATGTTCTCTGATCAAACTCTTATAATTATCTAGGAGTGATACATAATTCAAAATTACTCTGATACCTTCACATTGGTTTTTCCTTAATAAAGTGAAGGTTTTCATATCCCAATTTGGCTTGCGGGCTCTGTTTTTTCACATGCCTCTTATATACTTTGACTACAGACAGTAATTTTTTTAAACATATAATAGAAAAAATGAAAATTGGGATTGCATACACAACCAAGAAATAAATAAATTGTCCTCAGAACAGAAAAGCCTCTATCTTCCTATTCTAAAAAGTCACCAAAAGTTGGAAGTAATGTAAAGCTAATATTGATTCTGCATTTTTATCACAAAAAATTCTTCTAGAAATCTTTCCATACAATAAACAATTAATGCAAAGAATTGTATTGGCATCCTGAAACATGTGTTAAAAAGTGAATAGCTAGAACATTCAAAGCACTACCTTTATTGCACTTCTGCAAGCCACATATCCATTAAAGTATAACAATTTGCGTCTGAAGCAATGCAAGTTTCATTTCTTAACAAGTTTTACTTCTATTTTTATTTATCCCTCCAAGCTAAACAGAATGAATGAAAGAATTCCAGAAGTTATTTTAATTATGGTAGAATTTTTACATTATAATGCAAGACAGCAATTTTGTGAATGGTAGTGATCATTAAAATCTCACAGCATTTACATTTTATAAAGGCAGTTCAGAAATCATTTAATACTATTTTATGAGGAGAAATACTAAAGAGTATGAATTAAGATTGGGATGAAATACATTTTCCTGTGAATTTTTAATTAAAAAGCTATTAAAATAAGAAAAACTTCCACATTCCAATAAAACAATCTACAAATACGAGGGCCATCCAGGAAGTAGATTACGTTTCCGTCTGTGTCCGCTAGGGGCGGGGCTAGCGCGGCCATCTTGGGGTCAGAGCGTTGCGCAGCTCAGTCTGCATCTAGCCGTGCTAGTGAGAGGTTCGTGCTGTGCTCCGTTCAGATACTGTGATGGTTTGAAATGTCTGCGTTAATTGAAAATCCCGCGAGCTGCGAGGTGCGCTCAGTAATAAGGTTTCTGACTGCAAAAAACTGTAAACCGATAGAAATCTATCGGCAGCTTCGTGAAGTGTATGGGGACAAACATTATCACTGAAGGTGGAGTGCGTCAGTGGGTCATAAGATTTCAAAATGGCCGAACCAATGTTCACGACAAAGATCGAAGTGGGAGACCCAGCATAGTGACCGCCGAACTTCTCGAAAAAAGTCGATGCTAAAGTCCATGAAAATCAAAATTTCACAATAACGAACGGAACTTTCTTTGAGTTTTCCACAAATTTCGCGAAGTTTGTTGCACGAAATCATCAGCGAAAAGCTTGGTTACCACAAGTTTTGTGCAAGATGGAAGGCAAGAAGAGGTAACGAAGTGGTTGAAGGCGCAGGCGGCCGAATTTTTCGACGAAGGAATTTCCAAGCTCGTACATCGCTACAATAAATGCCTTAATTTGTATGGTGACTATGTAGGAAAGTAGTATTTGAGTGTGGCTTTCATTTGTATATAATAAAATTTGTTTCCTATACTTTGTTTATTTTTTTAATCCAAAACGTAATCTACTTTCTGGATAGCCCTCGTATATATATTAACCCTTTGCGGCACAGTGTGTCTGGTCTGGGCGCACCTAATTTTTTTTTTTTTTTTTTTTTCTGTACGCACAGAAAAAGTGAATAAAAAAGGATTTATAGGTTACTCTGAACCTTCTTTATTTATAGAAGATGGCAGCTCGACACAAACCAGTTTTTTTTTAGGGTATAAAAGTCATTTTTTGAAAAGAAATTTCCATGTTATTTTTTTGGCTGTATGCTAATCTCCTTATTCTATATTAGTTTTAAATTTTTACCTTGAAATCTTGCCTAAAATCAAATGGCGAACCCTAGGCGTGCCCAGACCGGGGTCATCAATAATCTAGGACAACTGAGAGTCTGTATTCTTTGTTTCTCCACATCTCATCGGTCAGTTCATTGACAACAATGCTCATTTCAATACTCTTTTCGAAGCTCTATTTAAGCAGTGTGCTACTTTGGGCACACCCACAGAATTAAAACGATAAGTGCTATCTTCACGAAATTTTACTTGTGTACTCCTCTAGGCCTAGACTGCCTACCCTTTTTTTTTTTTTTTTTTTTAATCAAAACTCCGATTTTAAAAGGTAGTGCGCCGGAAAGGGTTAAAGAGTGGGAAAGCATATTGTTAAAAATAAAAATTATGATAAACTGTTCAGAACAATTACACAGGCAGATCATTTAAAGAGATTAATTAATTAAATTAAATCTAGTCAAAAAGAAAAATTAATTAAATCTAGTCACAAAGAAAATAATCAAAGTATGGTTTACATTTTAATAAAACTCTGAATTCAAGACAAAAATGTTAAAAAACAAAAGATTCTGGAACTTGCTGAAAAACCTATATTCTCCACAAAAACCACCACCACCAAAAGAAAGTGAAAAAGACACAGAGAGATAAAAACAAATTTTTTATTTAAAAAATTAACTACAAATTATGACTAACTATGAATTTAAGTTATATAAAATTACTTATAAACCATTAGAATTATTAAAAATTTAAAAAGAGCATTTGTTAAATACAAATTTTAACCATTATTATTAATTTACATATTATTCTGAAATAAAACTTAAATCTCTTCTTTTTACCACATAAAATAAGTAGTAAAAAGAAAAAAACTCATACTTACAAAGATTCAGCACTTGGCAACTGACTGAGGAAAAACGCAGGAGGGCTGGCCATATGCATTTCAAGTTGTACACGCTTCAAACCTGCTGTTGCTCCACAATGCAAACAGAAAGGTAAAATACCTTCTTCTTTGGACTGACACTGTTCGTGATATAAATGTATTATTCTCTGTTTGCTGCTCTTCTTAGTTGCACACTGCATGAAAGATCCCTGTAGGAAAACAATAAAAGATGCAATGGATTATTTGGCTAATAGCACAACACACAACAAATATTAGGCTTAATTTTAAGCCACATATCTAGGCTATTACACAGACGTAATTTTTTTCTCTCGCCCTCTTTTTTTTTTTTTTTTAATTTTTCAAAATAATACAAATCATTCGACATTTCAATTGTAACAAAACTACTGTTATTCAATGTAATATGTGGTGAAACTATGGTAATTTTATGCATTTCCTTCCACATAACATTGGCTTTTATTTGCATTTTTATAAGAATTTCATATTTTTGACTATTAATTATATTTTTTATTTCAGACATAATTCACATATTTTTATTCTTTATATACTTAACCGAAAAAGAAAATTCAGATTCTAGCTAAATAAATAAAAAATAATAAACATTCATTTTTCATTGTTATTAATAATTAGCCTGTTTGTCATTAATTATTAGTCTAAATGAATTACTAATTAATTAATTTCATGTTTTTGATATTCAATTACCAGTCAGAATGTAAACTAAGCTGCTAAATGCTGATAATAACTATGATACCTGATAAGCAGAACTATTATAAAAAATGATAAAGTACATAAAAAAGGAATAGTCTGTTTAACTTATCAACTTTTATGGAAGGATGTACTCAAGCGTACTAAAATTTGAAGAATATTATACTCATAAACTTCAAATACTTTTCTGAATTAACTTGAAACATTCTTCACCATATAACTTTGAAACAGCATGTAGCCAATAATCAAAATCGCAATAACAAACTTGTATTTAATGTACATATATTAAAAAACTCAATCGATTTCAAGGGCAGCCAAAGATCCCTCCTTTTCAGGAGAACGAAATTACTAGAAAGGGGGAAAATAAAGCATCAGCAAAGGAGTCTCAGAAACATGTGGCGTTATCAGCACTACACGTGGTCATAACTGGATTTTGAATCAGAGTTACATTGGCCACCTACTTTTACCGAGCCAGGCTATCTGATCAAACATATAACACACAGACTAAAATGGAAAAAAAAAAAAAAAAAAATCAGCGAAGTCAAAAAAAGGGAGCGAGGGGCAACTGCACCTTCACATACCAAGTCTGAACCTTGAATCCTTCGAGGTTCAGATTTGGTGCATGAAGATGCAGTTACCCCTCGCTAGCTATTTTTTTACTTCGCTGATTACTTTTTTTTGTGTGTGTGTGTGTTTTAGTCTATGTGTTATATAGACGAATTTACTTTTTCCTTACAAAATGCAAGAAATGGGTTCTATTAGTCGAGGATTCTTAGATAAACATTTCTTTAAAGATAGCCAGTGTGTACATACATATTTTTTTTTTCTTATTTTTAAAATTATGCAGCTGTTGGGATTGTTTTACTTTTTTCTTTCTTTTAGATAATAATAAATATCAACAATAAGATAAGAATAAACATCAAGAATGATCATAATAAACATCAAGGAGTTAAAGAAGCTGCCCCTTTTTTCTGCTGCTAAATTTAAGGTGACCGGTGCATCTCATAAATTGCAAACCTGAATTTTCCTTTTTTAAGATGCCTGCAACACCAATCTTGAAGCCTACTGTTACTGGTGCATTCCTGGCACCAAGTTTTAAGCAATTATACAGAGGAATTGCATTTTCTTTTAAAATTTTAATAACTATCTGTGCTATACTAAAACTTGTACAATCTTCTTCTAAAGTGGGGACAGAAAGGAAACTACATTTAATTTCTGAAGACTGGTTTTAAACAAAAGGAACAGCAATTGTGTACAGTTAGGCACTAGTATTATTGTTTCCATCTGTTAAGAGGTAGAATAGAGCTGTTTTAATGCAATCAATAACTGAAAATTATATATTTTATATCCATTTTTTAACAACTGCAGTTGAAGTTGTTTTTATTTTCATTAAAACATTTTTCTAAATAAAGCCACAGCATGATCTGATGCACAGGGTTCATACACATTTCTGCACATGGAAATTAAGTACTTTTAAGGACTTTTAAGGACCATTAATGAAAAAAATTAAGGACCTATCAGCCAATAGGAGCTAAAAAATTCAATTCAATCAGCTTATATCTGAATTTCATTTTTGTAATAATATTCTAAGAATAAAATAGATCTGTAAGTAGGATGCATTCTTATTAAACATAACTTAAAAACAAATTTGAGAATGAAATCCACATTATAAAATTTATCAAATAGCATTAAATATTTTACACATATAATAGTTGGATATATTTCAAAAAAGATCGGGGACATTTCATTTACATTTTATTAACAACTCTATGCTGATTTTTTTTTTTATGTCTCATTTTGCCATGTACTTACTCAGTCTAGAGGTTTAGTAAATAGCAAATAAATTTTATGTCAAATGGCATAGGTTGAAATGAGAGATAAAATCATAATGAGCATGATTTGTAACAGAAGATTAGTTGTTGCTAGTGCAGCTGCTTGCCGAGAGACCTGTTGATCAGGAAAAAACCTGAAAGCCTGTTGTAGGTAAGGTATTTCTCCCACATTTCTTGGCATGTCTTCATGGTGTGTTGGTTTGCACACTCAGCTCGTATTTGAGAGGTCCACGGTTTCATTCCCAGGGAAGGCTTTGCATATTTTTCATCTTTCCTGCTTCCAAAAAATACCTAATGTCTCAACAGAGGGGCCCAAACTAAAAGGGTGGTGGTCCGAATTCTCCTCACCCTGGATTTGGCGATTGGATCCCCTAAAACCACAGTCACCTTTGAAAAGGGGGAGTATATAAGGTATTTCTCCCGCCTTCTTGGCATGCCTTCGTGGTGTGGTGGTCTGTACCCTGGGCACGTATTCCAGAGGTCCACAGTTCGATTCTCGGTGAAGGCGCTTTTTCATTTGTTCCTGTTTAAAAAAATCCTAATGTCTCTACAAGTGTTGTAACTTCATATAGCGTTTCTAGGATTGTAACCTGGTTAATATACTTTAAGGTTCCAATAAGCCACTAATATAGCAGAGGTGATAAGTTGTTTTGTATTATTTTAAGTCTCACTAGATGCAAAGAATAAGTTTACAATAGTTTTTACATTTTCGTGCCGTATCTTGCGGCCACAGTAATGATTAATAAAAAGCAATAACTTGCATAGATAACTTTTAGAGTTGAGCAGTTATTTATAAATAATTAAATTAGGTAGTTAAATACCCTCAGTCGTTATAGATTTACATGACCACTATTAAAATCACAATCTAATAACATTTCACAGTTTCAAATACATGTAATTTATGACACTGATTCTTAATCAGTATTAGGATAATTACACATTAAAAGTTACAAAACAAAATATTTATGAGTCTTTTTAATTCGTAGTGTTCCTAGACATTTTGGCTAATTTATATCAAATTTCTTCTCTTTAAACATCTTTTCTAACAATTAGAAATCTGTTTCAATACACAAAACAAAATTCCCACTAGTTTCTGCGTGCTTTATCTCCTAACTTGTAGTTTCTCAACAGTGTACCTAATGAGGTTTTACATGATCTGGTAAAAGTTAAATAGTCCAAAACCTCTGATAGATTGAAATTTAATCAAAGGTGACTCAGTAATTTTATTGTAGTAACAAATTCAAATATTATCAATGATAACGCAAAGATGAATAATTACAAATTATCAGATGTTGCAAGAACTAAGGCAACATCCAAGTGGAAGGCAAAAACTTCCTGTCTTACAATCCAAAAATATCAGTTTAAAAACTATCTGATTTGCGTTATGGTGAGGAAACGGAAAGGGAAAGCTATAGTAAACACTAAAATTCTAAACAACTGATTAATTTGCATATGTATTCAGTTTCTTTCAATATGTTTCCTCTTGACTTCAGAATTTTTGGAATTAAAGATTCCTGTTATTCTAAAAAACCAAAATGCATTAGAATATAAAGAAAAAGCTGCTAATTTTATTTCTTTAGTAATATGAACATTCAGAATAAATATGAAATGATATGTGGTAAGGCTGGTTTGAGCCGATGAGGCAGAATTTTTAGATTTTAGTGACCGAGCAACAAAATCTAGAAATGGCAAAACTTTTAGAATTTAGGACAGGGACTGGGAGCAGAATTGAGGAGAGCTTTAAGCAGCAGAATTTGGGAAGGCACTAGGCCGCAGAATTTAGGAAACACAGAGATTTCATCAGTGGGGAAAAGGCCCAGCGCCAGCCCTGTGTATGATCCATTGAGACGTATAAGGTGAATCCTTTTAAATTGTCAGTTTTCAATTTCTTTATTAATAAAAAAAATATTTTTTTATAAATGACTGCCCAGGTGAAAAGATTAGAAACATTTTTGGTATTTTCGATGCTTGTGTCTAGTAAAAAGTTGAGAAAATAAAGAGAAGATAAGCAGGTTAAGAAAAAGACTTCTAGCATCAGAAGTACAACATTCAAACATTATATTTTCAGTGTTCTTCCAAAAATTCTTCACAATGTATGAAATTCATTATAAAATTTCTGTAAAATACATCCATTATGTGTTAATACAATGAAGATATTTTTTATTTCTTCACGTTTTAATGGAGCCTTCTAGAATTGTGGGTCTATAAATATTGCCTTCAAATCCTTCTAAACTTTCCAAGTTGCAATGTCTAAAATGCTAAAGAAAAATTAGCCCTACCAATTCTGTAATAGAAAAAAGGCCAAAAATAGTTTGTAAAAAAAAAAATTAGTGGACAAAAGTGTGAAATTAATTTTATAGAGAAAACTGATGCATATTCTAATAATTCTGAAACGATTACATGGGAAAACTTTTTACCATGAAAAAATTGAAAAGAAGAAATTTTTAATTAATTACATAGCTATTTTGCTTTTTCTATGAATTGTTTTGTTAACTGCGCTTTATAACATTTATTATCTTGCTTATTTTTCATATTCAAAATACTGTATAATAAGTCACCAAAACAGAAAGTAATGTCTCTTCATAATATGACAGCAAAAAAATATTTTATTTTATTTCCTAAATATAATTGCAATATATTACCATTATTTTGGTTAAATTTATCAATGTTTAAATATTTTTTTAAAAAATCGACGAAAAATTCCCAGATCTCCGAATTAAAAATTTTCTATAGAAAGTGATATTAAAATTGCCGAAATGCTGATAAGTCACCAAATTTCGAGTCATTTTATAAAAGAATTCACATTCACAAAAGCGGAAAGTTGTTTAAGAGCTCTTCATTAGAAAAAAATGAAATAATTTTGAAATGCTTATGTTTCACTTCTTGCTCAGAAAGTCCAAGTACCCCACCCCTTTATATTAGAAATAGGAACAAATTATAACCCATCAACTCATTCAAAAGATAATCATATTTATCAGTGAATCTCCAAAAATATTCCTCTAAAATGATAATTCATACTAAAAAATAGTAGTTGTAAAAACAAGACCGAAATTTCGATGATTAAAATTAAGGACCTTCTGACGATTTTGGCCGAAATTAAGGACATTTAAAGACCAAAAATCGATTTAAAAACATTTAAGGACCTTTTAAGGACCGTACGAACCCTGGATGCAGTGGTAAGCTGTGCTCCAGTACAAAAGCAGAGAACAGGCATTCTGCATTAATAACTTTTTGAATCTTTGTTTTCATAAAAAATTTAAATTTTTCATTTTTTTCAATACAATTCAGGTTGTCCTTGTATTTTTGGGTATGCACACATTTCAGAACATAGGCCCTTCAACCATGCAAAATCAAAAAATGGTGATGACAAACGGTACACATCGCAAATGTATTACATTTCCTTGATGAAATAATAGAAGGAAAGTCATCTGTGAATGATTTTTGAAAAGTAATGAGTATTTTACTTATTTCACACACATAACTAAGATAAAAGATTGTAATTCCTTAACTATTTCTTGAAAGCACAAGACACTGTGCTCAGTGGTAAGATGAACAAAATAATCTCAATCTTGCTTTGTATTCGTTGGCATATGCCAAATGACATGCAGTGGCATTCAGTAAATGGAAAACTGGAATGCAATGTTTCGGACACATATGCTTCCACTCACAAAGCAGAAGCACAGATGTCTTACAGATGCAACGACTTTGGTATTCTTCTATATACAATATAAAGAAAAACCAAGTACTTTCAGATACCCAAAATCACTTTGTTGGGTTCAAATAACGACGCATTAAAATAAGCTACATAAAAATCATGAAAAATTTAAGAATAAGAGAAAGTCAGGAGAAATATGCTGTAAATCAGGATGACAGGAGTATGTTGGAAACTGGAAGTCTCTCATCTAAATCACGAGAATTGGCAAATCTGCAATGATAGATAAAACTTTAATCCTGAAACACACATATTTGTAGAATTTTTTCAATGCAAAATGAATGAGTCAAAATAGTTAAATAAGTTATATGTCAAGCTTCCATACAGACAAAAGGCTTCAAAATTTGCTTCTGCAGGAGATTAAAAAATATTGTAAACATTTGAGATGCCTTTCCAGATCCATACAAATAAAGATGAAATGTTTACAAATAATCTAGCTTTTTACTTTCCTATACACTTGGAGTTGTAGGAAATAAATCATCTGTAGAAATACAGGAAATACTATCACCACTAATACCTCTCCAAAGTTTTGAGTGAGCTATCTTTCTGATTCTTGAAAGTAACATGACATAATGTAACATTGTTTCTTTTTTAAGTAAGCTATATATTTACCATGTCTTTTTATTCAAAATTAGCATTACTTGCTATGATCTGACACATTACTTTTAACAGCCCAGGAACATTCAAGAATGTTTCTTATGCAAATTAATGTTCACTTCATCTCTATGTCATTTTGTCTTATAATTTTTACACAAATGCTCTAATTTTGGATAGCAAAGAAAATCTATATATTTATTTTGCAAATATCATTAGTAGTAAATAATATTTTGTTATTAAAAAATTAGAACAAATATAAAAAATATATTTGCATGTTTAGCATATTATGCAATACATTTAAAAATCACATCATAAAAAAATTGTTGGAAGAGCAATTTTTAAAATTAACTGCTTTTATTTATTGTTAGGATTAATTATAGTTGATACTAGCATGATTAATCCTTTTAAATGTTTAGTAAGAAATGATAAATATTACAGAAGTCCAGAGTATTTTTCCATTAAAAATTGATTACATACATAAAATTATGACAGAAACTTGTCAAAAAACAAGCTATTTATATATTTATGGTCTTTCTGTTACGATCTTAGACAAATTTCATTGTCCAGAGAAAAGAAGTAAAGTTAATTTTAGTTCAAAACAATTTAATTGCATAAAAATGTCAGTAATGCAAATAGTTCACAGTAAACTAACAGTTTCAGATACTATTATCACATGTACTGATTTCACTGTAATTATCTTCCATAACATTTTATTAATTAACACTATGCATTTGGCATTTGAAAATTTATCTTATGTTAAATTAAAATTTTATAAACAGATAATATTTTTGAAAAGAATAATACCTGAGAGCAAAAAAGACCACAGTATGGACAAGAATGATGATGCTTCAATCTCCACAAATGCATTTCACACATAATAGTAAACGGAATTTTTACAGAAGGGCGAACTAACCGTGGAGTCACGACAGGATTAGAACACCCTACAAGCTGAAATATTAAAAATAATTCATGATTTACACATAATGCATTTTCAACACAAAAGATAAGAGAACTATTTTAACCACTGCCCTGATTACTCCGAGTTATCGTGGATTCGTATACATTGTAATTAATTATTATTCGGTGAAAATTTGGTGGTAGCAAAATTGGTCAATATGATTTATTTTATCATGTTTTTACTCAGCCTGAAGCTTAAAAATACTCTGATTTGATTAACAGTTTGCTATGTTTTGTTGGAGAGCTTTGCCACTGGATGGCAGGACTAGACACGTGCTTTGCCTGATTGTATATACGGCGGCTGCTGGATGAGTGAGGATAGTTACATTGCAAAAGAGTTTAAAAAAATGGCGATTGCATGCAAAAGTGAAACCACTGGTGATCTTTTTTCAGATACTCATTATGAAGAGGCAGACTCTGAATATAGTAGAAGTTATTCTTCTGTAAGTAACCTTATGGAAGACGAGGTCACTTGCACAAGATAACCCGGGATAGTAACTTCATGATAAAACTAGATGATTCTCACATTAAAAATTCAGCTTAAAACCTGCATAATTATGTTTTGTTTCAGTTTCTTATATTTAATAATGGAATAAAAAATATGATGATCTTCTTCAGTTTTTTTCAAGAAACAGTAAAGTGACTTGAAACACATTCGTAAACACTAATTACTTACTCATATGTGTATGTTTATTTCACACAATCATCTCTTGCTAAATTTTCATTAACTATTGGAACCATCATTTGCAAAATAGAAGAAAATTTGAAACTTTTGCTTCTAGTTTTTTATTTCAATTTTATTTACACAAAATTTAATCTATAGTTTTACAATAATACTTTTCACAATTCACTTTTTGAAGCCTCAAAACTGGCATAAAAAACTTATTTTATGTTCATATAAAATAATAATCCTTATCTTGAAATAAAATTTTAATTTTTCAATGTATATTATGCAGAAAATTAACCCTTTGCACTCGAGTGGTGCCTCTCAGGCACCACTGCATGTGATGCAATAACTCGAGTGGTGCTTGAGAGGCACCATTTGAATCGATGTGTTTATTTGTGTTTGACCTAAGGAATATCGCTTGAGATCTACTTGGCCTTTTGTAGATTATATTATGAAGTGTCTGAATAGCTATAAGGATGCCTTATCTCAAATAAAGGTTGTCTTTGCAATGCTTATGCAATTAAATGTCTTATCTCAAAAATGCTTGCGACCGCGTGTAGGAATCTGTCTTCGACATCAGTTCGAACTCAACCTTCTTGCCAATCACAGTATTTCTTTCAAAGTTACTGAGCCTAATAAGTATGGAACACGACGAAGAAGTTACTTCTAGAAAAGATGAGTTTAATTTTTCGGCAATAACAAACAAAATTACATCACTGCATAGACAGCTTGCCCATGAGAACGTAGACGGAAGTGATAAAGATAGTGACGACGTTAGAGGAGCAAGAAGACGAAAAATCCGAATAATTGATAGTGAAGCTGGAAGCCAAAGTGATTGTACAGAAGAGACTGAACCTTCAGAATGGACAGTGTGCACAGAAAAGCGCCTCGAGCGCAAAGGGTGGTTAAGAAATAAAGATATATAGTACAGTCACAAACATTTAAATTGTGAGTTAAAATGAAAGATCTGAAACTGACTTTAGAAAACCTGCTTTAGCATCAACATTGGAATGCAATTAAAAATAATTATTTATACGAAATAAAAAAATCATTTAATTTTACAATTGTAGCAGCAAATTTAATCGCTAAAAATGGGCATAATGGAATGAAAATGGATCAAAACACAAATCAGTCACAGAAACTGTGACTTCACATGCACTTAAATCTGAAAGTTTTATTTTTTAATTATAGCTGTATGCTGAAAGCAGTTCGACAAGAATGAAAATGTGAAACTATGTTAATCCAGTTAAAAAAGGATGCCAAATGCCCTTAAAAATAATTCATGATTTACACATAATGCATTCTCAACACAAAAGATAAGAGAACTATTTTAACCACTTCACTTTTTTAACTCCATATGTTAAGTTAAAAAAGGATGCCAAATGCCCTCCACCCCCCCCAAAAATGAAAGTAATGTGATCTTGTTTATGTATATTGCAAAAATTATGAAATTAAAAGCAACAATCAAAATATAACTTGTGCAAAAGGTGACAAAACTGTACGGAAGTTTAAACTGCATGAGCTATTTTGATTATTGTGACAGACAACATATAACAAAACTGTATGAAACAAAAAATGTATAAACAGATCTAAAAAGTTTTCAGCATCACATATAGAAAACTGTTTGGGAATAAATTTATCTTGTAGGCTTGTACTGGCAATATTTATTCAATAAATTTGAAGGCTTCATTAGAGAAATCCTACACAAACTTTTTTGCATGTTTACTGAGTGAAATAATGTCCTACCTTGTTCTGAAATGTTTAAATAGTATCATTCTATGATTACTTTCAATTATCTATATGCTGATTCTTCTCCTCTACGGTGAAAGAATGAATAAAACAATTTACATGGGGTAAGAATACGTAGATGATGGTTCTAATGAAAGTCAGCCATTAGACTCATTCATATTGTTGCGTGCGTTCGGGTTCGTTAAGAAATGAAAGCACAAGTCCGATGAAAATGAACATAATTTATTATTATCACAACAAAAATGCTTAACTTTCCTCAGATATTCATGCAGTATTACAATATCTCACAGTAGTTATCTCTTAACTACTCAAACATTCAACAGAACTTAATTCAAAACAGCTAGAGAAAGCTAATCCACGAATTCGCTACAGTCAACAAGAGCAGTTTCCTAAACAAACTCTTAAAACAACAACGAACTGAGAGGTTTTCATGCCGCTTATATAATCTTTTAAATCACGTGCGAGAATTTTCTAACACTCCTCGAAATCAAAAAGAGATGTTTATTTATTAAATGCATGTGCTCTTGTATTTTTAATTTTCTGGCTTAGCTTAGCTTTAATATTCATCACACGCTGCACTGCAAGGGGATTAAAACAATTTAATTTATAATTCAATTAACATTACCTATTTAAATGCCCCCTTCCCAAGGACTGCACATCCCGGGCAGTACAATCCCTGAACAGTAAGCCAAACTTACAAGTGAGGCATAAATAAAATAATAAACATTACATTATAATAACAAACAACATGAACAATAAATGCAATAACTAACCTAAACAAATCAAATGCTATCAAATACTAATCAAATACTAAATAAACATTTAGAAACAAAAAGGACCACGGTCTTACACTATTTACAATTATTTACACTACGTACTACGGCCATAGTAATGAGCTAACCTGTCGTAATGAATGACTTTAGGTTTAGAGTTTGAAGACTTACGGATCCGAACCATGACGTCATTCAGCCTGTTTAGGACTATGTACAGACCATCCCAAGGTGACTGTAATTTCAGACAGGGTCCCTTCCATCAAGTCGGATTCCACAACCACACCTGGTCTCTTTCATGGAATTGATGTTCAGTAGCTCTTGTGTCGTATCGGGTCTTTATCTTCTTCATCGACAAGTTGACTTGCTCTCATGCAAAGTTGTGCATCACTTCAAACTGAGCCTGGAGATCTTGAATATATTCCTCAGGCGATGAAAGAGCATCCAGAGGGCGACCAAACATGAGATCACAAGGAAGACGAAGGTCACGACTGAAGAGCACCTGTGATGGGGAATAGCTGGTAGTCTCATGGACAGCACTGAGGTAAGCCAGTAAAAACAGTGGTAATTTCTTGTCCCAGTCCTGTTGGCTCCTAAAAACCACTAATATGAGGTTATTAAGTATGGTTCGATTGAATCTTTTTACCATGCCGTCCGACTGGGGATGTAATGGCGTCATTTGGGTTTTGTCAATGCTGAGTAGTTTGCATAGTTCTTTGATTACTGCTGAGGTAAAATTCCTTCTCTGATCGGAATGTAACTGCAAAGGCACTCCGAACCTGGAAATCCAGTGCTGTACTATCACCTCAGATACTGTGACAGCCTCTTGATCAGGAATAGGATACGGTTCAGACAACTTGGTGAAGTAATCAATGACAACGAGTATGTATTTGTTGCCATCAGCAGTTCGTGGCAGAGGTCCCAAGATGTTAAAGGAAATAAGTTTAAAAGGCACGCCTACGGTGTAACATTGCAGCTTGCCTCGGCTGCCTTTCTTCGGTCCTTTCTGACCTGCACAGGCATCACAAGATCGGCACCACTTTTGCACGTCATACTTTCCATTATTCCAGTAAAAGCATTCACGAAATCCCTGCCAGGTCTTCATTATTCCAAAGTTATCTCCTGTAGGGCTGTTATGTAGTTCTTTAAGGACATCAGGAATCCGGGATCTTGGAAGTATCAGTTGCCATCGGAATGTCTTCCCATCATCTGATTCGAATTTCCGGTATAAGACGCCATTTTGAATGTGAAGTGAATCCCAGAGTGCCCAGTATTGCTTTGTTGTAGGATTATAGATAGAAATGTCCTGCCATGTAGGTTTTCTGTTTGATGATTCCATTAAATCAATTATGGGCTTAATGTCACGGTCTTCCTGCTGGTCTTTCCTGACTTCATCACTAAATGGGTCTGGATCAGCCAATGTTGATGTCGTAATTTGTCGTGTGACTGGACTCAGCAGCTCGTATTTTGCTTCGACCCTGGAACAATATCAGCAGCTTTCTGGGTAAGGTCTTTTAAACAGGGTGCCGGTGTTTCCGTGTGATGATCCCTTGCGATGACGGATATTGATGTCATATTCCTGGTGTCTCTGTATCCACCTGGCTATTTGACCCTCAGGGTTCTTGAAATTTAAAAGCCAGGTCATTGATGCATGATCAGTGCGGAGGAGGAATTTTCTGCCATATAAATAATGACGGAAATGCTTTATGGCTTTTACTATGGCAAGCAACTCCTTCCTGGTGACACAGTAACTCCTTTCCAGTTTAGACAGGCACTTGCTCCAGTATCTGCGTCAAGAATAAATG